TATATATATATATATATATATATATATATTATCTATTTCTCTTCAATTAAACAATTAAATTTTCACTTTATTTCTTATTTTTTTAATTTATTTTTTTCACTTTGGTAGTGTTTGTTTCTGCTGATTTATTGTTCACGACGAACGAAAGGCGAAGAAAGTAGACGTTTGTTTCTACTGATTTGCAAAGAAAGAAAGGCGAAGAAAAGCGGGAGAAGTTTCGTTGCCGTCCTCGCGCTTTTGCGAAGAAAAGAGATGAAAGTCACGTAAGATTTGAGAAAACTCGATAATACCTCTGCCCCATACATGTAGAGACTGTGCCATTCTAAGTAAGCTTCATTTCTTTATGCATGAAAGAGGGTAGGAATGAAGCATAATCGATTATGCATGGCACATCGATTATGAGTTGGCATAATCGATTATGCCTCATGTAGGAATGAAGCATAATCGATTATGCATGGCACATAATCGATTATGTTGGCATATTTTCGCTTCCAGGCGAAATCAGAACGGGTCGTTCCAATAATGGATATTATGAGTAATATGCGAACTCAGAACGGGCCGTTCCACTTTGGGAACGGGCAATTCCACACATGGCCGTTGTGGGTTAATTTGTAATCCAGAACGGACCGTTCTGGTCCGAGAACGGCCGTTCTAGATATAAAATAATGTTAAAAAATATAATTATCATAATATATTTTGTTATTATTATTTATTATTATAAATATTATTATTATTATCATTATTATTAATATTATTATTATTTATGATATTATTATTTATTATGATTCTTATTATTTTTCTAATATTTATTATTATTATTATCATTATTTATTATTTTTTTAATAAATTATACCTATTAATATAATTTTATTGTAATTATTATTATTTACAATAAATAATATTATACTCATTTTTAATCTAAAGATAAAAGTGTAAATTATATATTCATCTATTAAATTTTTAATTTTTATTTATCATTAAATTTAAAGCAAATATTTAAATTAAATTATTTTTAAACTAAGATTTTATATTTATTTTTTTAGTTAAAATTTTTATATTTATCTTTTAATTATAATAATTATAAACTTTTTTAACCTAAAGGCAAAATAGTAATATTACAAAATCATCAATTAAAAAAATTATTTTTATCTATCACATCAATCAATTCACTCACAAACTTTCTCTACACTTTCCATTCACTTTCCACTCACTTTTCCTTAATCCAAACAACCCCACTTTCCACTCACTTTCCTTTCAAATCCTTCCTTTTCCACTCCCTCTTTTCCATCTCAAATCTAAACAAAGCCTTATTTTTTATCATCTATTTTTTTTTACTTTCTACCAAACATAGAGTAAAGTTAATGTTGAAGAAGTTTGAAGATTTGTAGGTTAAGGCAGAGGAAGTTGACCTTGACCTGGAAAATGATGCATTCCTTGAGTCTGGTTGCTCGCCGCAACATAACTCCACCAATAATGGAAACCGAAAGTTCTAACATTCTTGCATGTGCTACCCTTGCTGAAAAGGAGACCAATGCATTATTACCATTTCATATCTCACATAACATAACCTTCATTTTCAATACTTGAATGTTATTGCTATCAATCAGGTATCATACACAAGTGAGAGATGTTACTGTGTCCAATTGTATGACTTACAGAGTCCAGGCAAGGGAAACAAAAATATATTACCGTTAAATTATCTCCAAAATATATTACCGTTAAACCCTAAATCCTAATCCCGAAACCAAATAAATAAAAGAAAAACTATTAGATGGGTTGAGCAGTAGAAGTTGAGTTAATATGTCTTATATTCAAATTTGTTATCATTATTATAATATTTATATATAAAAATACTAAAATAAATATTTTTTTAAAAAAGAAAAATAAGTTTTTCTTAAGTATCTGAAAATAAGGGTAAGTATTGATTGAGTTGAAATCATGAATAGGTACAGATGGTAGATCATGACTAATGGCCTAATGCTCTGAATCTTCTTGCACAGCACTTAAATGTTTACCTTGAGCCTTGTTAAACACTTGCTAGTTGCTATAGACTTTCCTACGCGTTAGTGGGTGTTTCCGCCAGGAATTCTTCCATTTTGCGACTCTGTCTTTCCCGTATACTCTATTCGCTCATTGCCGTCAAAATCATGCTATGCTTTTATATAAAAAATAATAATAATAATTAGTTGTCAATAAAAATGATAAATACTCTATACTAATAATGTTGTGAAATGAAAATTTGAGTTATATAAAACTAACGGAAAATATTTAGCTCTGGACTTTAAAAAAAAAAAATAATACCTGTTTTTATATCTACAAAGAAAAACATAAAATCATATCTAAACAATTTTTTCATAAACACCTTACATATAAATTAATTTATATATAGGCTATAAAATATAATTAAAAAACTTATATATAAATTAAGTTTAAAGATAAATTTATTTAAATTTTATTTTTTATTTATCCCTTGTAACTTTGTAAGTGCTTCGGGGGAAAAAAGTTATCCAAACAACGAAAGATCTTTCAATCAAGTAAACGCAACTGGAAGAAGATTCGAAATTTGGAATTGCTCATAAGTCTTTGCCTTCCATCAATGGTTGATAATTGGCCGAGTCGAAGTGCCTTATTATTCACGCTGCCAATGTCCTCACACAACAAACAAGCGACATAGTCACCACATAATATTATTATATATCGCATTCTTTCTTTTCTTTTCTTTTCAATTAAGTGTATGAATTTCTTATATAATTATATTATCTCTATTTGACTATTCTTCTGCGCACAATTTGAAGGGCACTTATTTTCTTCTTCTTCTTCTTCCTTCAAAGGAAAACGACCTGAAGCTTTAATGATTTGCATTGACCGTGATGAATTAATGTTTATATTTGAAATTTCTGCATTGAACTTTCAAATTTCTACACTACAATTGTTATTGCTTCCGGTTGATCCTTATTAATCACGTTAAAAGAAGGACATTCAGTTTGTTTACACCGTTTTCTTGGATTTGTTAATTAATGAACCAGCATGGTATCTAGCTATCATGAAATTTAAATTTACTACTTGTTTTTATATTTAAAATGGATATAGATATACATTCACATTCTGCTGTTACAATGCTATTTAATTAATCAACCAAATGATCAAAAGGTATTGCTATTGTGGGAATTGTATAAAATTCGTCTGTGTCTGTCGACCATAGCAAGAAAGGTGCACACATACATATAATTTTATTGGGAATCAAAGTATATGCTTATATTATGTATATGGTAGATTTTCTCTTATTACATTTGATTTTTATGTGAATTTTGTATAAAAATTCGTAGCAAACATTATTTTTATAAATTTTTTTGTGAAATTTTATCTCCAGGTAATACCTTTGTGGGTAATGTATTTTTGTGAATTTTAAAATTCACAAAAAAATTTCTTATAAAAAAAATCAAAGAAATTACTTTAAATTTTATTAATAATTCTTCAACTTTTAAATGCTTACAATGAATTCATCTAAAATATTAACAAATTTGCTTCCACACCTCTACCATGTGATACATAACCTTTTAAACTCTTAGATCGTAGATTATAAATCTAACACTCAACCATACAAATCAAGTTATAAGGTAAGTATTGTCATAACTTATATACTCTTTAATTATTTTATTTCTAATCAATGTGAGACTTAAAATTTTTTTAAATATTAATTATATCATGTCTTTAGAAAAATAATTAATTCATTATATTGACCAATAAAATTATATTATTATAAATTATTTTAATTCTTAAAATACTCAATATTATAAAAAATTAGTTTTTTTATTAAATAATTTTATTTTAAAAACTATCATTAAATTAAAAGTTGTCATCATTAATTTAATATTTAATTAAAATAAATATTTAATTTATGAATATTTTGAATTAAATTAATTTTTATGAAATATTTATAAATAATTTAGTAAAATAATATTTTATTAAGTAAATACTTTTAATTTTAAAATTTTATAAATTATCATTAAATTAAAATTCCTTATCATTAGTTTATTATATTTATAAAATTTTATATATTTAATTTAGTTAAAATTGGCAGAAAAATCTGCAAGAAAACTTACCTGCAAAATTTTTCTACCATTTAGTAAACATTACTTGCGAATTTATTTTTACAAGAAAATTTGTAAGAAACAAAATAAAATTCTTACAATATTTTCTGCAAATTTTTACCATGGAAAAAATTTCTATGATCATTAAAATTGTAGCAAAATTTGTAAAATAATTCTTGTAGATTATTTTTCATAAAAAAATTGTAAGAAATATTTGTAAATTATTTTTCGCAAATAAATTTGTAAAAAATTTGTGAAATTATTATTACAAGAAATTTTGCAAAAAAATTCTGTAAATATTTTTTTTATAAAAAAATTACAAGAAAATAACACTTTTCTAATAGTGATAGGTGGTATATAATAATAATAATAATAATAATAATAATAATAATAATAAGCAATTTGTTTCTTAATTCAGAAAAAAAATTATATCATAATGTTATAAATAAATTTAAAATTATTTAAATTAAAATACAAATATTTTTAATTCTTAAGTCTAATTTCAAACATTTAAAATATATATGTTTTTTTTTCAAGCTTTTTAAAATCAATCTCATGATTAATAATTCAAAACTCAATGATTTAATCTTAGTTCAACCGGTAACAAGTAAATGACATTATTTTTATAGAAAAAGGACAAAAAATTCATACAAAAATGCTTTTAAAAATTCTTTACGAGTCATTTTAATTAAAAGTTTATTTAGATAAACCTATTAAGAAGTATTTTTAAGAGAAAAAATAAGAAAAAAATAAAAATATATATTTTTTACATGTTAAAGTTATCTTATACATAAGTTAAAAATAATTTTTAAATAATTTAATATAATTTTATGTGTATAAATTTATTTTAGTGTATTTAAAATTATATTTTATTTTTCTTCACATTGTCCCATCTCAAAAGGTACATTCGGAAGTTTATCGATTTCTTAAAATTAATCTTTTAGAACGATATGTTAATCCACTTTAAAAGCAAATAGATGTGTTAAAAAATGGTTTTAAATAAAGGTTAAAATCTTTAGTTGAACTGTAACACTGTAGTCAACGAAATGGTTGGTCACGCTTGACCTACTACCAACACTGCTGGTGGGGTCAATTTGAAGTGGATTCCACCAATGTCTATAATATGATAATAAAAGATCAACACACGACTCATATGTGCCGTAGATCAATAACACTGTACGTGTTCAGATAAGCGTTGACTTCCTGTCGTGTTACTGTGCTGGATAGCATGCATGTTTAAGATAATCATTTCTGTTTTCTTTCTCATCCTTTCGAATTGACGATCCAGTTATGTCTATCTAAGCCTAGAACACTGCCTAACCTTGCAAATTTATCTATTTATTACGAGTAAATTAAGGTTCTTCATCATCAGCACCAAAAGATTTCCTTTTATTTATAGCTTATTATTATAGCACATGCTGATATATATAATCACGACATTGACATTATTGGATTGGCAAATTAAGATACGGAACATAATTAAAATGATTATTAATTAGCATGTAATCTACAAGATGCAATGATGATTAATTATAATATTTTATTTTAAACTAAAAGCTATTAAATAACGTATAAGTAATATTAAGAATAAATACTTTTTCTTTAAAAAAAAGTCCAATCATCGATCTCTCTTAAATAAATATGACGATTGAAATTATTTATCTCATTCAGAAGGCATGTAGACACGGGTAATCACCACTCGTGTTTATAATGTATGATGCGCATGCATGTCTCCAACCATAGAATCTTTTGCAATCCTTAACATGCATGGTGTGGGCATTGATTTTACTAAATTAAAATTATTTAAGTAAAATTGATTTTACGAGTAATGTTGTATCCTTATCACCAAAAAAAAAAAAGTAATGTTGTATCCTAAAAAGAAACTTCAAATGAAATAATAATAATTTAATGAATTATTTTAATTAATTAAAAAAATTAAGTTCGTTTTAACCTAGCTTGCTAGGTTCAATGAAGACAGATGCAATTTATCATGAATGGACTTTCAGAGTTCATCCTTATCACGGAGCAGACTTTATACTCCATGTTTCTAATAAAAAATAATAATAATAATAATTAATAGCACTTACATTCTTTAAATGGATGATTAAAACGTCCAGATAATTTCTATCACCCCAAGAAATCATCCATGAAACACACGATTTTAGGGTTGGAGACCACAACTTTGTAAGGTTCTGCTCTATGTATCTGTCATACTCAAAACTAAATAAAAATAAGTCTAATTTAATTTATATTTTGTTTGCCTCATAATAGCATAATTAGACTGCTGAAAGCTTAGTCATCAAAATGAACGTGTGGCCTCAATAGTACGTCTAATAATATGTCCTCTCCTCAACACAGTCACGTTCCCGTGGACGCTACGTGTAGATCTTTGTTTTGTAGTCTTTTTATTTATTTATTTATTTTATTAATTGAGAATCTTCCAAAATAAACAAGTTGAGGCACAACATATGAGCAGAAGGGAACTTTGGTGTCATATCATGTAGCTGGCTAGGGTTGATCTGAATCATATCCTTTATTTCTCCCCCCCTAACCAACTCCAACATGCCTTTTAGCAATTTGCAAAGTGTTGAACAGAATTCTTAAATAAGAGTCCCCATGACCCATGTGTCTACCTTATCAAGCCCCTATTTTAGTGGAGGAGGTTTTTCTTTGTCTAAGGAGGGTCCTAGTTTGGTTTCCGTGCTAAGAAAAGTTCAAACATCATGCTATTCCGATAAGTTTTACTAATTATTAATGCAAGTTCATTCCAGAATTGAGAACTCGCAATAAGATGGCCAAGTAGAAAGCATACAATTTTTTCACTAAAGAACATCAAAATTTGTGATACAGATTTATAGGAGGATTTGAAGTATCCACGTAACATCTCTAGTCCTTGATGAGTATTTACTCCGTTAACGATGAAGTTTTGCTCCTTGGGCGTATTGTTCTATTATTATAATGGATTAATTAAAAGATATTAATTGTAAAAATGAAATATAAATATGCAAGTTGAAGAACATACAATTCAAAATACACCAAACAAAATGATATAAAAAAT